ATATATATTAAATTTAGTTATATATAATAAATATTTAGTTTATGCATTATACAAATTAAATACTAGTTGAATATCAACTTCAAACTCTATAACTTAATGCAATGGCATAATTATTTTCAAGTACGATCATAATTCTAAAGTTAAAGTATAACGATGATAATAATAATAGTACAATAATGTTAGTAACACTAACAGTAGTATGAGCGATAATGAAGGTGGTGACATTATTTATATATATATATATATATAAGTGAAATTAAAATAATTTATAATTATTTTAAATAAATAAAATTTTAATTAAATAATAAAATATGCTAATTTTAATTTGAGTTGTAGTTTGTGAGTCAAGGTCTTAAGCTTAAATATTAAATCTAATAATAAGAATTATTTTTTTAATATTTTAAAAATAAAGGACACCTCTCTTTTAATAACCACTCTGTTATATCTTTTTTATTATGAAATCTCTTTTAAAAAATTAATATTTTTATTAGACTCAAAATTTAAACTCAAGACTTTGAAGTTAAAAAAATAAATTTTAATACCAATTGAAAAAAAAAAACCTTTATTATTTAATTTTATATTTTTATTTATTTTTAATCAAAATACGAACTAATATGTTAGTGTGTTTATATATACATAAAATTAAAAAAATAAAAAAAGATCATACACAATATTATTTATCTGTAGTGTAGAAAGAAGACTAAGTGCTATATGTAGGCTCAATAGGAGCATCAGAATCCACCATCACCTACCAAACATGCACGCAAACTTTCTCTTAATAAATTCTCATAGAAACACATTCTGATTCTCGTATATATCAAACCTTGATAATTGATATCCCTTTCTCTCTCTCTTTCTCTCTTTTTAATGTGATTTTGACAAAACAATTATGTTAAGTGCAGTGTGATTCCTTCTGTCTTAGAAATGAGTCACAATCACCCAATCTCATAAGGTTTTGCATTTATGCCACGTATTAAACAGTAAACATCTATGGCCCACAAAATTGGTAAAAAAAATAAGTGTGTCAATAAATGCTAACAAAATTTGTTAAAATATAATTACTTATTTTTTAGTTATCATACATTAACAATCATAACTAAAATTATCTTAAAATATGTTAATGGTGTAATTTGTTAAGGTACGCTAGCTAAAAAAAAACAAATGAGAATACTTTATCAAATCTAATATATATAATTGATTAAAGAATATAAAAGCATTCGTAGTGTAGTTGCTTATAAGAACTATACTGTGTCATATCAATTTTTTTCATCTTCTTTTTCTTAAGCAACAGAACTTCTGCAAGAAATTTTGTTAAAATTTAAACAATCTATTTTGTCACATATGCTCTAAGTGGCACGAAATTTTGTATAAGAATTGAGATTTTATAACAGTGGTAAAATGAAACTGTTTTGATTCGTATAAGAATGGAAGAATGGAAGTAACATTAGGGTTGGTCGTGGGCACCAACTTTATGGCATCATTCTTTGGTAACATTCCTTAATTAGCAAAAAGTTAGCGTAAGAGTAAGTGCTGTATTCCATGTGACAGTTATTTAATTTCAATTTTCCAAGTGAACCCAAAACGCGTGTTTTTACTTTCTTTGCTATGGTATCTTATTTTAAGAAGTGGCCTACTTATATGCTTTATAATAAATTTCCTTTAATATATTTTTATCAGTTAAAATAATGAGTACGATATCAATGCATTATATTTTAATTCATGTTTGATTCAAGATATATTATCATATGATTACTTATTTGGATTTTAATTTTAATTTGATCAAGACATGAAAATATATGGAATGGAATTCTGAATATTAAATGTATTCATATAACATATCAATTTTAATATTATATATAATCACATCAAAAAGCTAAGGAAATAAAAGAAATTCAAATTGTTGTATATGTTGTTTTAAAATAAATACTATTAATATAAATAATTTAATAAATATAATATCATTTTATGTAAAATGCTATTCGTTAAGTGGAAGTTTTATTGTTAATAATAATTAAGGATTGAAGGGTAATTTTAAATTAATTACTCTCTTAGTTCTAAAATAATAGCCATTTTAGAATATTATATAAAAATTAAGGACACTAATAACTATCCTAGAATGTAAAAAAAAATAGTACTTATAAAAGTAAGTTACCCATATTTGGAATAATGAATTGTTAACCGATCATTTCTCTAGAAATAAAATGACTCAATTTATTATCATATGGACAATAGATAATATAAATTGATATAGAAGCGAAATGAAAAAATTAGAAAAATAAATGTTTTCTTGATTATATAAAATGACAAATAATTTGAATTTTTTTACTAAAGTGAAAATTACTTTTGAATAGTATAGTAATCATTTATTTCGTACAAAATGTTGAAATTTAAAACTCAATATTTAATAATATTTATTATTTTATTAAATTATATGTATTATGTTAATATGCATTTGAGTTTTTTATTTTAAATTTTCCTAAAAACCAACAATAAACATTTTATCTGTATATTTTAAGATTAAAATTGTAATGCTTACTTTTGTTTTGAAATAAATAATTTTTTTATTTTTTAGATCATATAAATCGAACTCAATATTAAAGAATTTTAGCAATTTATATACACTAATCAATCAACTGAATTAGATCCTCTTGGTTTATTACTATTTTTTTTTTAAATTTGGATATAATATTCAATAACATTGTTTAATTTATTTATTTTTTTAAATAACATTATTTAAGTTATTTGAAAACCCATTTTATTGTTAGTTTGCTACTACACAAAGAAAGTACGTAGATGCCGTAGACGTGGAACAGTTTCAATGGGCCATTTAATCTGTTTGTCCATTATCATTCACTGCCTTTCGTCATTTTTTCATAGTCCAAACTCCAAATAATCAAGCAAACGAGGTTGACAAAGAATATTCCAAAACTTAAGATTTCTTTTGTTAAACGTGGAAAGAAAAAAAGAAACACTTTGACTAATGGAAAGTAATATTTTGAAAAAATAAGGTTTGGTGGAAATGAATTAGTGAACAGATTCACCTCTTGATTTGGTTAGCCATTTGTGTGATGAACATTAGTTGTGGAAATGTGTGTTGCGGCGTCATGCATGAATAAGAGACAAGTCTAAATTCTACTGATGCAGAGGCACCAGCACCAACCCAGAAATTGATAGAATCAAAAAAAATATTAAAGGGTCTCATTGGACGTGTTGTGTAACTTGGCGACAAGAAATTGTGACCTAATATGCTCTCTCTTTATGTGATCTTAAATGGATGATTGAGAGAGTTTTGTTCGGAGGATGAAAAATAGTTTGTGGGTTCTCAATTTTCTTGCATCTAAAAAATAACAATAAAAAAAACCAATTGAATTAATATATTTCATTACGTGGAGGTTCTGTTCTGTTGGACAACTTAAGGACCATAATAACGGGAGAGTCCCCTTCTGTTGGACAACTTAAGGACCATAATAATGGTCGACTCCTAGGAGGCTGTGACCATAAATATTTTTGTATGTAATAGGGGGCTATCAGCCTCAGCCACAAAAAAAAATGAATAAGTTAGGATTTTAGAACAAAAGATGCTAACCAGCATCCATCACAGATTAAAGAATCAAAATTTATTTATTTATTTTTATTATAAAGTATTAATATATTACCTGTAATTTTTTATTAAAAAATTATTATTAATTCTTTAACCAATTTTTAAAGACCCAAAATAAAAATATAATAACCTTTTAATAATAGTGGTGAGAGACTTAGATTTATACAAAATAATATAGAGGAATTGGGTAGTATTTTGAACAGCCCAAATCCTGTTCAATGATCAGTTGGGCATTAATGCTGGGCTGACTCACATTATACTAGGCAGGCCCATTGAGGGCTCAAATAAGCACCTGTGACAAATGTGGGCATAGACGCACAGTGGCTTAGGAAGGTGGTGAAAGGACAAGATGGCGGCTGCATCAGCAGTTCGAAGATTAGACCAGAGGTTAAGCTAACTATCAGGTAAATCTTCTACACTCATATCCTCGTGTATGAGTAATATGTCATATACCAAGTAATTTGTAAGGATTAACAATTTTTAATATGATTTCTATCCGCTCCTAATCTTTTCAGATATATTGATTCAACCAATTCATAGTGTTTTTTTGCCTCCCAAACAAAGGACAAGAAACTGATGCTAGAAAAGGATCGTTTCTACAATTGTATTAAGAAAAATATGCACAATTTTACACCCAAAATTTTCAAAATACAATGTATTAACTAAACCCAGATGAAACGTTTGAGTGCAAATACCACATAGGTTGACCCATATTCCCCTACAAAACAGGGCGGAAGTGAATCTAGCCTACCTAAAATTTCCTTGTACCTGGGGAAACAAAACCTCAACATGCCCCCCCTCAAAATCATGTTGGATTGCTAAAAAAGTCAAAACATTAGAAAAATAAAATTCTTCGTCAAGGAGGATTTGACAATGAGACATCAGAAAAAATCCTATCCATTTTAAGTTTACTCTTCACACGCTGTATCTCCTTCCTTTGTCTCTGCAAGGCAAACAAATTAAGTTAAACAGTCCAACCTAGACACAAGAAATAATTTATCACAATGCTCCCCACCTGATGTAGTGCATTCCAGCATGCATTGAACTTCTCATATTGCAGTTTCCATTCAATGGCCATCTCGAACTCAATTGTATTGGGCTGGGAACAATGCGATGTTGATACTGCATTTCTCTTTAAAAAGCATAAAACACAATGTCAATCATATTTTCTAATATGTGGGAGGGAGGTAAAATAAACCAAGGAATTAGGCTACCATCTCCTGGCTTTGCTTATGACGCGCAGCTCTGTCAATGACCAAATGGCCAGTAAAATTTCTTTTCTTGGCAGGCTCACTTAGAGTTCCCTTCATGGCACTGACAATCCTGCAAAATTTAAAATGCTTCAAAAAATCGAATACATACAATGTCAAAGATATTTCTTTCCTTCCATTGTAATAACAAATGGTACCGGCAAAAAATAAGAAAACACATGGTTTGCGTTATTTATTCCTTACCCCATGATTAAATACAGAATATTGCGAGGTTCAACTTTTGGAGCAAAATCCCTGTTTTTGTTTTTATTTGTCAAACCATTGTAAAGAAATATAAACTTACCCATTATTCTATGGAGACTTTCATATCTGGAGTTTTACCATTAGTATATCAACGAATTAGAATCTATTATGTGGTTTGCATCTACCAAATTAACTGTCTGACCTGGAAACAATGATTATGGCACTAATTGAATATTAAAGCCATTCAGCTACAAGCTTAAACCTTTAGGATGACAGCTCAATATTAGTTTGCATCTTTACTACCAATAATTTGCAAAAACATTCAAGTACATACACGAAGCACCTTTCATGGTTGATTAACTAGTAACTATACTGCAACTAGGAGTTTCCCTACTGCCTAGATATTCAACTTCATAATATAATCTTTTCAGGAGGTAGGGGTGCTAGATCACTTAGATGTCATCCAAGTTCTTCAACAGAACAGATTATCACTGAAACAAATTCATAAAGTTAGAAGAGAAATTCAACATGAAAACAAGGTAACAGATGCAATACCTCCCTTCCCCAAGAGTAAGGCATCTCTTGTTCAACTCGGATATTGCAGTTTCAGCTGCGTCTTTTGTTTTAAAAATAACCAATGCTCTACCTGTTGGCAGATGAGGAAACACAATCAATGGAGAATCTAAAAGTCTCTGACACTTATTATGTACTACTGAATTGATATTTCTCATCATGCCAATGGAAGAGCCACAAAAAAATTAAAATGGGATTATTTGTTGATTTTCAAGGTAAATATGTAAAGACCATAGTAAGTATTGGAAGTTGGTCTCCATTCTATCATCCTTGCCTCAACCTTTGCTTTGAGAGCACACCAAACAAGATCCTGAAAAAGAATTTGAGGAAAAAGAAATTAAGAAACAATACCATGATTCACAGCAGATTAATTTAAGATCTAAACCTAAACTTTCTCTTGGGAAGAATAACTCATTTGACAACTGATTGTCCCAACACATCCATGTAAGTTTCAATTACTTAATTGTCAAGCCACATATAGCACATCCGCACACAACATACAGGATATTTTAAATATGTCAAGGGTAAGGGTAAGGAACCTGATCAAAGTTTTGTCCTTTCAACTATGTCAAGAGTACTTTTAGACCTATATAAGCACATATATTATATAAGCTTCAACTAATAGAAAAGTTTCACTTTTCAATTGTCACATGGTATAACAATTCAACAACTGTTCATGTCTCTGCTTATGTTGAAATTTCCATAAAGCTGGTCATAATCTTAGAGGGTTTGTAATCTTTAAAAGTTCAATATAAAAATAAAGTAGAAAGCAAAAATGATTGAACAGTTTGTTTACCATGGCATAGTATCATCTCAATGCAAGTAGAATATAAACAAGCTCTGTTCAGTAGAAACTAGAAGTAGAAAGTAAACAAGCAACTAGAGAATTTGAAAAGTTGGATCCCTTATACCTCTACTTCAGATGACGTATAGGATGGATCCAGATTATTCAATAAAACTAGGGTATTCAACTCTTGAGCTCTCTGCAGTCTATCATCCCAAGGCTACAAAGGAAATTGTTAACAAGAAATCAAGCATAACAATATTATATCCTTATGATAGCAGATAAGAATAGGAATCTTAACAATGATTAAACCAGGAAACTTCATTCATTCTGTTCCGTTACAAAGTACACTTATTTTGTATCAGATCAAAAACAGAATTGTTTGATCATATTTTAAGATTATCATAGCTTATTTTAAGCCAACCTAGGCAAGCATCATGTGCGCCAAACCAACCAAAAAAACATTTAAAAATAACCACATGCAATTGTTATAGAGTGACATCTACAATTTGTTCAATTGACTTTATTCAGGTAAGTGAAAATTATGGCATACAAATAATTCGGCAAGTTTTCAATCAACATCACAAGGATATAGACTGACCACTCAAAGTTAAAAGGATCTTATTTAAGATTTACTGAAAAAAAAATGACTTGATAGGAGAATGGCCTAAATGTGATAAACCAACAAAAAAAATTTAGTGGAAGAGGGAAACCACAAAATTTATACTAGCAGTTCACATGGAAAATTAATTTCTCTTGGCTAATATATCTGGAATTCTTAACTATCAAACAGCCTAAGAATTTCAAGGAAAAATCAAGATTATAAAAAGATTCTTTAGCAGCAGGTAAAAGAGCAAATGTTTAAAAACTAACTAAAGTTTGGCAGATAATTTAAGTCATAGTCATATATCATTGATGTTACTTGTTAGGGCGTGTGTAAAGTCATTTTTTAAAATTTATTTGTCAAGCGAGTTCTTTTCACATCAGATCAGATAATACAGATAAATGTAAGTAAAGGCAAACATAGTCTGCCTGCTATAATTTCAGTACTTTAATCACTAAAAAGAGAAGAAATCATCGGTATGCAAAAAAAATAAAAATTAAATTCAAAAGCTAAGAGAACTCTATAGTTTTAGATGCTACATAAAAAAAATTAAAGATAAAAGTATAAAACAAACCAGTTTAGATCCCAGAGTATAAGGTGTGGAAGTTCTGAAAAAGTAAAGAACCTTCAGCATAAAAACTTGCATTATTTTCACTATTTCTCTATTATCCAAATGACTATTTTTTAGATAAACCCAAACCTTGAAAATGATCAAAACTTAAACCGTGAATTTACAATAAATATAAAGAAATAAAAACTCACCATTTTCTTAAACCACTTTCTTTTTTCCTGCAACAATGAAATCAAGGGTTGGCAAAGGATTAGAATTGTGACTGACTGGAGTCATATGAAACCACGTCTACATGTAACAGCTCATGAGTACTTTTTTTTTATATCAAAGTTCTCAATCCCTTTATCTTGCTGCAGAAGTCAGGTTCTCAAATTAAATTATTTATATCCAGTGAAAAAGGACATTCTAAATTTAAAGGAGTGGATGATGAAGGACCCTATCGTTGTAGTCAAAGAATAGACAAGGAAAAAGAGCTTCAAATCATGAATATATAATGATGATGATGATGAACCTTTCATATTTCTACAATATTTGTAAGGTTAATTTACTCAAAACACCAAACAAGTAGGTAGCTTATAGCTTATTTGATTCGTTGACCTCATCTAGGATTAGTCTTCTAAGAAAACTTAAAATGAGTGGATGACAACCAACATAAAATTTTAGAGACTTACTGCATCTGGCCTTTTCATTACTTCAATGACTTTATTGTATGTTTTGACTCTTTCATCCTGTCTAAGCTCTACCTTCTTCTCATCAATTTCCTCTTCATTAAGGACTTGGCTACTTCGACCAATGGTTGGCTTCTCTTCTACAATCTTCCTCTTTTTATTTGGAAAATAATCTGGTGATTGCTTTGGCAAAACATTCACAGAAGTTCTCATTTCAGCTTTATCACTAACTTGACAATGTGAGATAATACAAGGATCAGTCCTAGTCTTAATTACAACTTTGGGTCTCATATTTGTCCCAACATGCAGATGGCTACTTGTTTTTTCATCCCCATTCTTGTTGAAGAACTGCTCCACTGTAGAACAGAAATACAGTGAGCTGACGTGAGTGGTAAATTCGTAATGCTAATTTAAGGCAACTAAAGGCTGCTATATTAGAGGGGAAAAAAATAGTAATTGCTCCAGAACAACAGGTTAAATAGCTTCTATGTCATATAGTTCAATTTTAATGAAGATAGCTGGTAACGAAATACAAGACACAGATAATGACCTTTAACTCCATCAATCTCTTTAGGAAATTTATCCATGATTACACGACTTGCAACATCAAAAGTACATTTGAAAAAGTAGTCTGCCTTCTTTAAGTCCGTATCCAATGGCTTAGGATTTCTCTCGTCCTTGGAAGTGCAAACAATTTTGCATTTTCCAAGAATTGATTCCTAAAAACAAAATTTAGTAGGTAATAGCATCAACAAACACAAACACTCAATTTTCAACTATATCAAAGTTACATACTACAAAAGTACCATGTAGAGCAAAAAAGACACATTGGCTCTTCCTAGAATGATAATTTCAGAATTTCCCAATTCAGGAAACTCAAAACTTGTTAGGTACAATATACAACTTAAATGACATCTTGATCCAGCCATCTAAATGCAAGCCAATAAGAAAGAATATATGCATGTCTTCAATAAGATAACATTGTGTGGTTTATAATAGTGCAATAAAGCAAATCAAAATAATAACCATTTCAAAACTTCAAAGGGGAGTCTAGTATTAGCATGACTGCAGGCCAAGGCACCTGCTTTTATTGCTTTTATTTCCCTCTCAAGTTCCTTTAAAATGGCATTATATCTATCATGAGTCGATGTATTCTTGACAAGCATCTTTGCAATCCTCAGCTTTCAGTTGAAGAAATGATGTATAGTACTCTAGTTCCCCATATCATAACACTTTTAGTTTAGTAGCCTTGCAAAAATCATAACCAACCAAGTCATAGTGCAGAAAGACCATTTTCAACCTACCAAAATAAACTAAGGCCTTGATTTAATAAACTTCTCAATAAGATAAGCACTTACAAGATAGAAATAGAAGACAATAAGAAAGTAAAGTGAATGAAGTTCCTCTCACAAGTTTAAGAGCCTAATTGGACATAAGTTAGAAGAGTTTTTGAAAACTTATCCGTGTCTCAAAAGCACTTCTAAACTTGTATCCATAGTCATACAAGCCCAAAATCAACTTAAATACACCTTTATAGAAGCTCTCTTATTTAGCTTCTCCAAAAGCCGACTTTAACTTTCGTATTAATATTAACTAATTATGAAAGAAGCTCAATTCATTTTATTCTTGTCCAATTGAAAAGTTTACCCAAACAGGGCCCCATACGCGTCAACTTTAGAGAGATGAGCTCATCATTTCATGCAGTCAGACTGTGATGATCCAAACATTGAAACCACTTAAACCCCACATTTAACCACAACGATTTGTCCAAAATATACCTTCACACTCCTCAATCTTTAATGACAACTTGATAAACAATTAACACCGCACATGATCAACAAGTAGAGACAATAATATCAATATATCATTAATTCAAGCAATGAAAGAATAAAATTACCAGAGCAACGTCATTGGCAGCACCTTTGTGGCCCTCGCCGGAAGCCAAAAACAACTCATCCCAACGTGGCTGATACTGTGCCAAGTAATTCCGAATTTCAACGGGACGAAAATACCACACAACTCTGACCACCTTTTCCCGAGTTGGCCTCTCATATATCTTAAGAAGCTTGGCGATGGAAGTTTCAAGGAACCCTGTAGTCTGCATGTAGACACAATCATAGAGAAAATACTCGACACCCTCCAACACAAATGACTCGTAGTACTGTATGTCTTTGTTTTTCACATCAACACCCATCTTAGTGCCCCACTTAAAACCCAGGGATTCTCCAACGTTCGCCTCTAATGGCGGTGACATGATGCTGCGGCTGAACAAATAAATAAAACACATCATTTGAAAGTGTGAAATGCAAAGCAAAGAAAGAAGATGAAGAGTTAATAAAAGGTTCATTACCTGAGTGAGGAAAGAAGCTACAAGTTGTGATTGGAAGGCTTTATGCAAATATGCAATGCAATGAAGAAGAAGAAAAAGATGAGACTGAGAGTGTGGGTTTTGAGTTTGTGATTTGTGATTTGTGATTTGTGATTTGTGAAATGAAAGGTGGCATGGGTTTGGTTACTGAAACGACATCGTTTCATCCGTACAACTAAGAGTAGGCATGCAGAGCATGAGCAGAGTAGGCTATAACAATGCACTTCGTTCACGCGATTCTCGCGTTTCCATTCCACTTCTCCAATTTTTTCTTACCCACTACTACTACCTCATAATTTTAGTTACAACCAATTTTATTACTATTCTATGTTTTGATGAAATGCTTCATTTATTTTTCTTTCTTAATTTGATTCTGTATTTTAAATAAATTCCACCTTTGAAATTCAACATTCTTTCCTTAAGAAAATCTGTAATACAAAGTTGAGACGATAGAACATGATTTACAAGTTGTGACACCCATTATAGCAAAAAAGACTTTTCACCAAAGGCATCAGACTTAAATATGAAAATATTTAAGAAAAATACAAATATGGATTATAAACCTTAATTACCTAAATAAGGAAGACAGTATAAGTATAAAGTCAATAAGAATTTTTTTTTAAGTTCTTCTAAAAAAATTATTTTATTTTAATATTTATATATTTTTTTAATTTATAACTCGAAACTCACTTTTTATATTTTTAAAAACTCATTCTAAAAGGTTTAACTTTAAAAGATATATAAATAAAATATTTTTTTAATATTTATATCCAAAATATTTCTATTTTTTATTAAAAATATTATTATTTCTTTTTAAAATTCTCACTTTATTATTTATTTCAGGCCTTACGATATGTTTGAGTGACCTTAAAGATCATGTAAAATCCGTCTTTGACTTAAAACCTTGATATCAAGAAGTAGATGTCTATACATTTGAAATAGAAGGCGAATAGGACATGAGAGACTGAAAATTCCAACTAGGAATATGTTGTTGTCAATTTGTCATTTACCCAATAATACTAAGCACTTGTTTGGAATCACAAAATCAGAGTTATTGTCACAGGTTTTTGTGTCTCACGTGTTTATTGATGTAGAAATACGAGAAAACATGCATAAATAACGCAGCTATAAACACACTATAAGTAATGTGAAATCCTTCTATAAACATAATTTAAGGTTGTTATAAAATAATTTATTAAAGTTGAGTGGTTAACATTAGAAAACGTTAGTCAAATTTGTTTTTTTTATGCTATGTCATTTTTTTTTATTTTATATATTTTTATGAAATTTCAAAGAAAAAAACTGTTATGTGTGATACAAAATGTAGTATACACTTAGTTTTCTTATATGTATGAATTGAACTCGATATTAGGAATCTACAACTCACACATTTGCGCTTTATTTAAAAAAAAATGATAACAAATTAAATGTTTTTTCAAATTATTGTTTGCTGGTGTGATAGAACATTTTTATCAATTCATGAATAACACATCACTATTTGGTAGGAAGCAAAGAAATGAGGGATGAAAATTTAGAAAAGAAATAAATAAGGAAGAAATAGAGTACAATTTTGAATTATTTAATTTTAAAAAAATAAAATGGAGATAAAAGAAAAATAGTGTCAAGAAATTATTTGATTCGAATGAAAAGAGAGAAAAAGAAATAAAATGAATAGATATATTATATTTTTACCCCTAAAACATAATTTGTTAGTCAAAAACGTATTTTAAAATAATTCAGAAGTATTGAAATAATTCAACTATTAATTTATAAGTTTCAATGGATTACATTGACGTGAATACACTTCAAAATAATTATAATTACTTAATAAGTTCAACTAATTAAAATGATAAATATGATTCATACATCAAAAATATTCAATCAATTATTTTGTAATTTCAATCGATTGAAATGAAATATAATGATGATGAGTACACACAATACACAATTAATTGATTAACACTACCTATTTAATTAATTAACTACAACAATTAATTAATTGTAACAAATATTTTAATCAAGTAAAATTAGAGTTATGAAAGTGAATCATCTGACCTAACTTGATCTAACCTACAGGTTATTCAAGGTAAGTCAACACAACTTGACTCACTTTTAGGAGAGCTTATAATAAAAGAATTTATCCCAACCTACTATGTATTGATGGATTAAACGAATTAACTAACTTAAGATTAAAAAAATATCTAATTAAACCTGATTAAAAAAATATTTCTTAAAAATCATTAGATCAAATAATTTGATATTTGTGCTTCTTAATCAAGAATGAAGAGATTTGATCTTATCTTATAAATGGAATCATGACTGGATGTATTACTTTAAACCAACAGGGGCTTGTCCTTGGTCTAAATTAAAAAAATAAAAACAATTATAATCATAAGTTGTTTTAATTAAAGTCCATCCTTTAAAAGGTCAGAGTTATAAATTAATGGTGTTCAGCAACTTAACAAACAACACGCTACATTATATTCATTATGAACCTGAAGATAAATCAAATTTACAGATGTAATGTCTGCTCATCATCCCGCGTTCTTTTAGTGGGAAATGACAAGCAGCTCAAATGATCATAAATATAGAAAGTTAAAAGAGAAAATGGGTAGGGATGATACAATTTAAAACACCTAAAGCTGGCACATCAAAAACACCCAAGAGAAAAAGACGATGCCTTTTGATCTCTTTCTCTTGGAAGTAATATTTGTTGGAAAGAAAAGAAAGAGAGGATGCCAAGAAAAGGACAGGAGAAGGAAGGAAAACAAGCGCCTAAAATATAGTAGATTGACCTATTGGCTTTGCTAGTTATATACAGAGAAGTGTTTATTAATGAAAGGTGATATAGCCGCAAGCAACGCCTTTGGACACTCCTCATGGGGTAGATGGCCACATCCGGATATAGCAACCAGTCTCTGCACGGGAAATGCGCAAGATATGAGCAAACTTTGAAAAGGAAGTAATCATATGTCATTATAAATGTGCTATGGAAATCAAAAGAGTGAAAGAAAAAAAAAATAGAAAAAATGGTAATGAGAAAAAAGTGTCTTTCACATTCCGTTTTCCACTTCTCTACTTGAACACACCCTTACTTTATCATTCCCAAATTGCGGATCATAAATGAACAGACAGAAACTTGAATACTTACAGAATTTACAAATTTGGAAGCCATTGCTTGACAATATTTCATTGAGACGAGTGAATCTTCGGCACCAGCTATGACCAACACTGGTATGTCTTTTACAGCTTGTAGCAATGAGTCTGCATCCTTCGATGTAAGGATGGTTTCAGATGACAGTTTACCAATCTCGTGAAGTGCTTCATCCCATCCTTCTACATATAGTGGAGCCTAAACATATGAAAAACAGTCACGAATAAAACAAGTCAATAAAATTTTTCTCCAGAAGTGATAACAAAAGCACAAGAAACAAACACCCAGAATGTACAAACACACCTTATAGAGTGTCAAAACTTCTGTTGTCAAATTTGTAGCATCATACCATGATCGCCGGTTCACCACATGGGTTATCTCCGTTCTTAGTAGTGGACGAACCAAATGCTTCTTTCCTAGTGAAGTATGAAGAAGGATTCTAGCAAAGGAAGGAACTACTTCCCTTGACAAGCTAACATTCAATAATACAACCCCTTTCACTGTAACCTGAATGACACAAAACAGGCCTAACAACTTAATCAAATGTGAAATGCACATTAGCCACAAAAATATAACCTTAAACATTAACTATAAGATTGCATCAGATAATTTTATGGAATGTGAGTAACATGACCAATGTATGTGAAAATAATATCCTATTGCTTAATTTCTTGACCTCATGTTTTTTGGATGGAAAATTTAAAGGAATCTCTGATATTACATTACAAATTTACAATTACAATACACATCAACTAACTTCTGTAGTTGATTAGTCATGCTTTACAGGTCTAGATAAAAGCCCAGCTGCACAAGGCAGCTAATCGTACTGATTAAGATATCTACTTAGTGTAAGAAGGCAGGAAGAACTACTCACATTGAAAGAATTCATTGATGTTTGAACTCTCTGTGCAGCCATCAGAGCAAGCAGCCCTCCATCATCATGACCAATAAGCACAACGGAAGAAAATCCAATCTCAGAACAGAAAGACAAAAGCAGATCTACCTGGAAACACACAAGTCTATCAAATATGTGATTTCAAATAAAACCCAGATCAAAAACTAAACACTATGGAATTTAACATAGCAAAGACTGTCAATTGATTTAAGTTTGAATAGATTTCATTTTGAAAACGCATTCTTAGTATTGCTTTTAATTGATATTTGGTTCCGGATCAAAATAAGTGTGCTAACGTATTTTTGGGGAAACCAAACATATAACTAAGGTGAGTTTACTGGCAAAACGTAAATTGAAAGAGGCCAAACAGTAAACCAAACATACCCTTAGTCTTTTAGGCCGGCTTCTCCTCTTATATTGATTCAAGACTAGAAACAATAAAATATTGAATGAATTCTACAAAAGCTCAAACTAAGGATTCATAGTAATCACCTGACTTTCAAGTTTGTAAGGATTAGGCAGATCATTTTTCTCCCAATCCTCCCGACTCAGTCTTGAAGTCAATCCCCAGCCAGGCCTATCGAATGCAGCAACTGTGCAATTACTCTGCCGAGCTAGAGGTCCCATTACATGTCGCCAAGAAAAGACACCTCCACCAAACCCATGTATTAAAACAATACCTACTTGGCCAGTGTCCTCTAAATTTTGCTCCAAAGACAAAGACTCTAATTTAAATGTTTCCTCATCTTCAACAATTTCATCTAGATGCAAAACAGGGATATGTTCAGTGAGATGGGGAGAGGTTAATGGACCATCTAAAAGAGGAGCATATAAAGATGAGCCATGGAATTGATTGCTATAGCTCCTGTAGAGTTGCCGATGCATTTTTGGAGATACACACGTCAAGTTCCTATTAAACTTTGATAAACCCCCAGACATTGATGAAGTGCGGCAAAATGTTGAGGACATGTGAAGTGGAGGTGAACCAGGCAGGCTGAGCTTGTAATGGAGAATAAGACCTTGGCAGGTGATGAATAAGCTCTCCGAGTCTGCAAGTAATCTGATCGGCAGTTCTTCATCACGAGCTGTTCCAAAAGGCCTCCGTTTCATTTCACTGTCGCTCTTTGGTGTTCTCCCCTCAGAGGGAACAGGAGACCGAGGGACCTTCTGATAGCCAGAGAAAACATTTTTGCATGAAAGTACCTGCTTAATAGACAGAAACCAACAAATATTTTTTTCAGCATGTGTCATCAAAGTAATTACAACTAACCAATTTAAGCTTTCATGAATTCAGAAACTTTCTTTCAAGCAGGAGGAAAATATTGACATCACCTAACTCCAAAGAATTAAACGAAACATCACATTAACAACAATACAGAGATGTTATTATGAGGCTGGAACAACAACTTACCGCTTCGTGGTCCGCTCGATGAAACATTAGCTTCCTCCTTGCTCTGCAGCTGGTTCTGTAAGCAACCACCATATGGCCAAGAGCAAACACAACTGACGAGAGAAATAAGACAGGCATTCCCCATGACTTCTTCAAATGGAGTCTCTGCCTTGTAGGGGAAACCGTAGCTTCTGCTTCAATCTGGGAATTTACGGTGAAAACACAGGCTTTGACTGAAAGAAGAACAATTGAGATAAAGGAGGACAGAGTCACAGTTCCAAGGTAAGGACCATGTGAAAGAGCTGGGCCATCACAAATCGAATAAACACCTGCATTCATTTAAACAAGAAAAAAGCCCAATATTAGAACCAAACCTTCATCTATATACACATAAAACAACATGAAGAAACGTTCCAACTACTGCTGTTTAATCCTCATACAGATATTCTGCATTATACAGAACACAAATTGAGAAAATAATAAGAAATCTTTCTGTTAATAAACTCCAAGAAAGGAGTTAGTTCTGCTTTAAATTTTAAGCAAAAAAATATAACGTGCTTTTTGTCTCCGTTGAAACACAATCTGATTTCAAAGAACAATCTAAAACAGAAATATAGAACTAAAGGAAGAACAAATGGCTCGGTAAACAAATTAAGCAACATATCCTCGGCCTTCAACCTCATGAAAAAGACGAGAAAAACGAAATTAGAAGCACAACGAACGAAGGACTCCACGTCGTAACATAATGCGAGTAAAAAAAAGCGAAAGAGAAGCTAGAAATGGAGAACAACGGATCATACAGATAATGATGAAGGATCTTATGACCGAAACGAGAGGAATGTCCGTCAAGGAGCTCTTGAAAGCGTAACGACGCAAATGCTCCTTGAAGCCGTAGCACTTGACGCACGTGAAGCTGGAGACGAGTACGCAAGGGACGAGCACGTCGACCACCGCCACGAGCACCGGCAGCGACGTCACGAGCAGCGACGCCACCAATGCCGCCACGAAGAAAACCGTCCTAACGAACCTCCGAACCTTGTCCAAGCACTGCCCTCCCCTCGCCATCGCCGCAATCCAAACGAAAATCAGGGATCCGCCAGCCGGTAACGGTTCCCGCTTTCGCCGGACGGTTACGTCGTTTTCCTCTTTTCTTAAGAAAACAAAACCGGTTAATTAGTTTAGAGTTAAGACGCGAGAGATCTCCGAGTCCGATCGTCCAACTGAAACCCTAGCTTAGCTAAATTCAAGAGAGTGCTATCCGGCGGCGACTCATCGGCCATTCCCGGCGGCGCAAGTTCAGTGTCGCCGGAATGATTGCGTGTGAGGGAAGCAGAAGAAAGCCATAGCGAAACAAAACAACGGTAGGGTTTCAGTGGCAACGAAGAAACAGAGCGAAAGAGAGAGAACGATGTTAAGCCCTCTCTCTGATTTATTTTCACCACTTTTCAAATCCCCTTTCTTTGCCTTTCGCCTTCTCCAACCTCTCTTTCTTCTCTCTTCTCTCTTCTCCCTCTCTTCTTCTCTTCTCCCTTTTTTATTTTTATAAATATATCATTCCTCTATTATACTTAATTAACTCATCATAATCATCATTACTTCATTCTAATCATTTTTTTTCACACATTTTACACTACTCATTCACAGCCTGTTGCATACCTGGCCCTTTTTCCTAATGCATATTGCTCCACTTCATTTATTCTTCCATCAAAATATATACTATAATAATATTATTTGTTTACTAATTCTTTAATTTTTTATTTTTTTTACTTTTTTAATAAGACTTTCAAATATATCATTAAAAAAAATCAAACTATTGTGGATTATTAAAATGCCTTCATAAAATAATGTAAGTAAAAAAATCTGAGGAATATAAAAAAAAAAAAAAAAAAAACATTGTTCCTTCGGATTCTTGTAAGCTTTGACTCCATATGATAATTTAACATTAAACATGGTCACAAATATTGTTGTTTAGTTGCATGCAGCAAAAACGAATAAATAAACATACAAATTATTGTTAACAGCTTTTGTATAAACGGCGTGGTGTTCTTGAGCCCTGAAACGTTCTCAAATGATTTTTTTTTAATTTGAAAATACAAGTACTTAATCAGGCATGCATGTTAAGAAAGGTTGAGAAAAATTTAAAATTAGTCACTGTTGTCATTTTTCGGGATGCAGTAATAATAATTAACTTTCATGAGCTCAGAACAGTGTGTATTTATTCATAGATTACGAGGGTCGAAAAAGCTGTTTTTTTTTTTGTTTTTTTATTTAAACCTAAATTGCATTGCATTGCATTGGCTTTGGTAGGTAAGTTAGTATGTTTGTTGAAGGTTCATTATTTTAAAAGAAAAAAATAGACCTCACTCCTCCGAAATTACACATGTTATTATAATAAATATAACTTTTTTACTAATTTGAATTATACGTTATTTCACTTCCTTAAATTTTTTAACTAAATAAATCTTTCCATTTTTGTACTTTTCCTAATCTTTTTCTCCTATCTAACCCCTTAAACTGTTAGAGTTTATTTATACATTTTAGTATAATTTTACTGTATTTTCATTTTTGTTATTTTTTCTCATTTATTTCCACATTATTTCCTTCCTATCAATTGAACCTTAATTGTTTTTCTTATTTATAAATTTATTTTAAACAACTTTTATACTGAAAATACAAGCGCAGTAAACTTGGGGGTTTTTGGATGAATCCGGAATACAATGTTCAGATGTAAATGACAGTATCCATTCTTCGATGACTAGTCTTAGGTTTTAATTCAGTTAAAAAAACTCTTGAGTTTTAATTTTAATTAATACATAAATTGTGTTTTTATGGTGTAAAAAATATGAATACATTAATTTATTCAATTAATTAATATTTGTTATTCCAAAATCCAAATGGTAAAAGGAATTTATTATTTTTGACTCTAAGTAAAGTATTGAATCATTCCATCTATATTTATATTTGGTTTAATATCATTTGACTCCTAAATTCTTTTCAGAGATTTTTAATTATATCTCTATAAAAATATAATCATATCTTTTAACTTTTTGTTTTTGTTACACTTTAGTCTGAGGTTAAAAATTTGTTTTAAAATTTATAAAATTTCATTAAATATTTTTGATACAGATAACATCGAATAATAATTTAATATGATTGTCCAAAAGACTAATTTCTAATTACATGGGCAAAGTTACAACAACAAAAAACTATAAAAAAAATATTAAAAAAATTAATTAAATTTTTTAGTTTAGATATCTAATTAAAAAATTTAGGACAGAATAATATATTTATATTATTAATAAATATGATTATTGTATTTTATGTACATATTTTTTAAGATGATTTTGTTCTTATAATTACTTCTCAAATTATTTTTTTTAAATGTTTTTTATTTAGTTTTAATTTTCGAAAAAAACTAGTGCCCCAACCACAACAAAACTTAAATTCCACGAGAAAAATATAAAAATCAATGGTACAAGCACCAACCCAAATGACGATAGAAATAAATGAAGTAATAATAACATTTGAATATATTGTAAAAGGAATATTGAGGTATTTAACTGCTTTTAATTTTCACTTTTTAGTGATCATTATATCTTTTAGATATATAAAAAAATATCATTTTTAAATAATTATACATAATATTATAATATTTTATTTATGTATTATTTTTTATTCACATTTTTTTCTGCTGGAAAATTTGTATTCACATTTAAGGATAAATATATATATATATATATATATATAGGCAAAATTTGTTTCAATTTTGTTTTGTAGAGTCTATATGCAGAAAAAATAAAAACTTGTATATGTAACGCTAACTATAAATACTTTTGAAATATTTATAGACAAAATTTGTTTCAATTTTGTTTTGTAGAGTCTATATGCATTAAAAAAACTTGTATATGTAACACTAATTATAAATATTAATTTAAATTTCTATAACCGCTTATTATCATAATTTCTATAAGCTTTAACAATTATTTATAATTGTTATATTTGATATGAAATGTGATTTTTTTAATCGTTGATATTAAAATCGTAGAATTTATTCTTCAGGTAATAATAAAAAATTTAAAAATAAAATAAAATGTATAAATCAAAATATGTTATTGACTTTAAAAGTAAAAAATAACTAAAAATATTATTACATGAACATGTATAAAATAAAAAATAAACATATCAATGTTGTTGGTGGAAATGGAAACGGTTGGGACAAAAAATGTCCCCACGAAGCACGAACTCGAAGCATGAGTCAGTGTCACAACCAGCCTGTTCCGTTGCTTGGTAGTTGCCACGTGTCAGTGAGAATGGTTGCATATGCATTGCATGTTTTGCTCTCTTTCTCATCTTAACGGTCACCCCATGCTTTCAAAAATCAAACTTCAAGCTGCCCGTTGCTACTTCAACAGTTCAACGGCATTCTTTCAACAACCATAATATACCAATTTTATTATATTAACAATAATTATTTATTTATTGTTATTCAATTCCTTCACTCTAAAATAACTACCAGGATTTATCAACTAAAATCTTACAATTACTCTGTAAAAGGATTATTTTATTATTTAATTATGTGTTTTACTTATATATATATATATATATATATATAAATGATTCATTATTTCTGTGTATATGATTTTTAGATTATTTTACTTTTATAAATTATAATTATCTCTAATTTATTCCAAATATTTTCTTCAACAGTTTACTCTATTATTTTTATTTTTATTATCAATTTTTAAAATACGGTGAGATACAAGGTATTTCTTTTACACTAGTTAGTTATTAATAAAATAAAATATCTTATTTAATGCTGACATTTTTTGGACAATTATTCTTCCAAATTACTCTTTTTTATTTTACCATTTTATTATTGTTCCGGCCAAAAGGTGCACTAGGGTTTTTTCCTAGGTCAAACCTCAAAGCCAGAGCATTCAGAGTGTAATCTGCCTTCTCAACTCTAGGGTTTTGGGTTTTATGGTACGTCGTTCATGGGTCTCTTGGGCCCCGAGAATGAAGGGATTTCCCTAACCGTTCTTATCTTGATGGTGCGGGGTTAAAGGAGATAAGTCTAGTCGGGTTCTGATCGACTGGGTCCGCGCCGAGGACCCAGTCGGGTTAATGCCGAGTAGTCTCCTTAGTCTTATAGGCGAGAGGAATCGAGTTCCCCAGGTCGAGTCGAGTCATGACCGACTAGGTCTGTGCTGACCCCTCGGTCGGGTTAGTGCCGAGTAGACATGGTCGCCCTACTGCCGAATAGAGGTGCAGGTCGGATTTCGACCTGGACGGCACACTTGCCTTCCAGCCCTGAGTCGAGAAAGCGAGAGGGCTTGTGGCCTGATTACACTAGTCGGGAAATACCCGAGAAGAAAGCCTAATCGGATTTTGACCTGGACAGTACACTTGCCTTCCAGCCTTGAGCCTGTAAGGCGAGAAGGCTTGTAACCGGGCAGCCTGGTTGGGTATTGTCCGAGCAGAAGGTCAAGTCGGGTTTCGACCTGGACGGTACACAACTGATGAACAAGGTGGGGTTTTACCCTTGCCACGAGATGGTATCGATATCAGGGGTAGGGCTCGGCTTCCTACCGACTAGGACCACTTGGGGGACCTAGTCAGTAATTTACCGAGTAGGTTCTTAGACATGTGGGATTAATGTGGGGTCGGCCAGGCTCACGCGAGGGGAATAGTCAGTCATAGACCGAGTACCCCTAAAAGATGGGGTCGGCCTAGGTTCTAATCAGTCTGCTATATATGGTGGGGTCAGGTCGGGTCACGTTGACCAGTCGGGTTCTGACCGAGATGGTCCACTAGCCTTCCAGCCTTGAGCCTATAAGGCGGAAAGGCTTGAAATGTGACCCTTGTAGACATGTCGAGAATGGGGCGATAAGCCTGTCGCCTCGATTCCTAGTCCCTTGGGACTCGGCAGGCTTCCCACTAGGATGTTTCGTGGGTTTGTAGTCGGTCCTGTGCGCGCAGGGAGCGCCAGTCGGACTTCAACCGGGACGGTCCAATTATATAAATAAAAAACTGCCCTAACAATTATAATTCCTCAAAAATTATTGATATTGTTAACGGTTATTTTTATTTTAGTTAATTTAAAACAGGCATGAAATGTCTTTAATATAATAGTGTACTTTTTTTATCCATAGTATATGTTAGTGTATGTATAAATATATCCATGATAATTTTTTATAATAATTATCTTAAAAATAAAAGTAAATAATTGTACAATCGTTGTATCAAAAATCAAAATAACGATGAATAAACAAAAAAGTATAGAAAAAATATAATATCAAAAATAAAATTAATTTATTATTTTGTGAAATGGGTTAAACTATTTATTTGTCGAAGCAAATTACAATATCAACGATAACGTTTATTTATTTATTTATTTATTTATTATTATTATTATTATTATACATATATACATATATTGTAACTTAATGATTATAACTAATTTGATGATAATTTAAATATGTTTTTAACACACGCAAAATGAATTGGTTTTAATATTGGTTGTTGTAAACTTTTTTC